AAAAAAAAATTTTGAATTTACTTACTTGTAGCCGGAGTTAGAGGCGGTCGGATACTTATGACCGCTACTGTATATAAGAAGCAGAAATGTGCCTTAGATTATGGGCCTTTTTAACCACTTTTTACTTTCCTCCCTTATAAAAAAAACCCCCCCTTTAACCACTTTTTCTTTCCTCTTGTATTAAAATTTAAGAAAAAAAAAATCTTTTCAAACGCTTTTTTATAATGACCGATAAAAAAAATCAAAGCAAATATAGAATTGAAAAAATCAAAGAAAATAGTCGGAAAAAAGATATCGAAGTAAATGAGATGTTACGAACAATGTCACAAGAACAAGTGAACGAAATACAAGCTGAAGGATCCAAACTAATTAAAGCGAAAAGAAATATTGAAGGATTACATCAAATCGCAAGTAACAGACATGAATTTTATTCGAAAGAACTGAATGAACTTAAAGAAGAAGTTGCAGAGTTGGAAAAAAGTGTGAATGTACAGCAACAATCAGTACGAATGATCGAGCAAGAGAACGAAACCCGTTTAATTTTTTACCGAGATCGAGTAGATAATTTAAAATCAAAAAAGGATAATCTACAAGATGATGATGAGCGTTCAAATTACAAAAAAGAAGTTGAAGAACTTCGAAATGAAATTGAGCATCATATAAGTGAACAGAGAAAAAATCTCAAAAAGAAATGATGCAAACAGACACACACTCTCTCACGCACGCGCAAATTTTTTTATTATATTTCAAATAAAACACCAAATCCTAACTCCTAACACAATTTTCTTATATTTCCTTGTTAATTTCATAAATTAGATATTAAAGTAATTGTTAGTTAATAGATTTTTTCGGCACGTCTTTCGTTATTTTCTTTTAATAAATCAATATTCGCAATAATTATTGCTTAATTCTTAATGACTAATAAATATTTTTCATGAATAATCTTAGGTACTAATTTTATTGTGGTAATACTTTTTGAATAATAAGTCCTTTCTTGTTTTAGTTGTAATTTTTTTTAATAGTTTGAAGGGTTAATTCTCAATATTCAAATTAAAAAATGAAAGGTTTCATGTGCTTATGTTTCTAGTGATTTGAGGTGATTATAATCCTGTACTTTTATTTGTCGTTACATCAACGTCTATATTTAACATTTAACATTCACCAATACCAAAGGATGAAGTAAGTTCCGGGTTCAAAGTAGCAAAATTATAATTAAAATTAAAATTTAGACGCACTTCAATAATTTTTTATTTGCAATAAAATTTGTAATATAATATAAAATAACAGCATAGGTTAGTTATAGATAAATTGAAAATAAAAGATTGATTATCTTTCAGTTTTCACTTGTTAATAGAGTTAGATTTTTAATGAATTTAGATATCTCACTCTTACAGCCCCCACAGTATACCACTCACTATTCACAAATCTTTAATTGGTCGTAAATTGCGATTTAAAGTTTTTGTAGAAATTGAAGTGAAAAGGATAATAAACTATTTTGATAAAAAATTTTAAAAAAGAAAGTAATTTGGTGGTACGTTATTTTGATACACAAAAATTAAAAAGAAAAAAAGTGGGAATCTCTATTTAATAGGCAAACAAACTCACAATTCTCCGATTTCATCTAGGATTTTTTCCAAATCCTCCAAATACTTTTGTTTCAAATGATACTCCATTTCTTCCAAACTGGCCGCGCTACCCTCCAAACGTTTTTTTCTTTCTTTAAAATCACTTAAATCATTTGTAAGTTGTAAAGTACTTTCCGCCAGATCGAATCTTGATTGTTCCTTTTCTTCGTTTTCTTCACTGTGTTCTTTTGTGATTCTTGGAGTGAACATTTCGCGCTTTTCCTTTACAAAATTTTTGAATTTTTCGAGTCTTTCTTTTGATTTTAATTTACTACCTTTACTAGGACGTCGTTTAACCATAGTTTTGTATTTAAAATTTCTTTATTGAGGAAGTAAGTTTGAAAGTGGTTATGCAAACGGTTAAGGGAAGGAAATATAAAATATTAAATAGGAAATCTAAATCGTTAGAGAGAAAATATATAAAATTGCCTTTAAATGGAATTTTAACAATGACATGATCTCTTAATAATTATATCATGTGATCTCAATAATTCTGGCCAAAATTATTTATGTAATTTAAATATTTCACGTGATATTAA